GTGGTAGCCTGGGATCTTTTGCCGTTGATGCTTACACGGATACCGGCATCGTCTTTCATTCGCGCGATAAGCGATGCCACAAGGTCCTGGTAAACCTGCAACCCAGTTGTCCCCATGTCAAGAAAATTGCTTGCTAAGCAGCTAACGCGTGATACCTGGATTTAAACATGTTCAAACTCCCCGGAAAAGCGCTCAACGGCGCCAAGTCTTGAGCGAGAAGGGGTCGAAATCGTTCGTCTCATCATGGCCAACAGCAACGCCGCCGGCGAGCTGTTCGAAGACGCCTTTGCAAAATGCCAAGGCGAGCTTGACCTGTCACTCTTTGCAACATGGCTCAGCATTGGTGTAGCCGGTGCATTCGGTGTGTTCTCGTTGATAGAACTGGGTTATCTGATGCGCAGACCAACAATCGTGCGCGCCCCAACCTTGCTCTTGGTATCTAAACTGGTAAGTAGTCAACCCACAATATGAAACTGCAATGAATTCTGGGAGTTGCTTTACTTTGCTTTAGCTTGTAGCTTCTCCAATTAGCATGGTGTTGATGAGTGCTCTTAGATATTTGGCATTGCCTGGGCGGCGTTCACCATCTCCTCCCTGGTGCTAACCGCCACGGATCTGAGTGGACCGTCAAGATGCTCATCAGCACAAAGCATACTAAGCGTTATCTTCGCATGCTTGGCAGTGATTCTGTCTTTGTGTGCCCATTTCAAGTCGCGTCGCCCATCTACTCTGCTCTGTTCGTTTCTGTTCGTTTCTCTCCTGACAAACGTTGCCAAATGCCAGCTCCTCTGGACGGTTGCTACCGAAACCCGGACAAAGAAAGCATCTGCCATATACACAGCATCAGCTATTATGCAGATGTGCTTTTTGGGCACAAACTCCAAGTGGCAACCAGATTGGCTCTCCTGGGATACGGATGCTCATAGTCCGGAGGAGACGAGCAGCATCTTTAGCCTTGGCTTGTACTCTTGGCTCAACTCGCTTCTATGGAAGGGATATCGGAATATTTTGGCCATGGACGATCTATATCCCCTGGATCAAGCCATCGCGGCCGGGCTTCCCGAAAAGGCTTTGGACACGATCCCGCAATCAAGCAAGCGACAGAGCGATTGGGCAGTGCTCATGTGGGCAGCCAAACCTCTTGCCAGGCCGCTTCTACTACCTGTCTTCCCTCGGATTTGTTTAATTGGCTTTACATTCTGCCAGCCTTTTCTGATTAATCGTCTGCTAGAGTATCTTGCCCACGACGGCGAAAACGGCTCAGAGCGCGATGCGGCTGGTCTCGTGGGCGCAACAATCTTGGTCTATTTTGGCATTGCCATCTCAACCTCGCTGTACTGGTACTACCAGGAACGCTCCCAGTCACTATTGAGAGCATTCCTTGTAACCTCAATTTACCAAAAGGCAACGCAGGCACCTTCGTCTGAAAACAAGGCGGCAATCACTCTGATGAGCACTGATGTTGATCGTATTTACACCGGAGTACGCTTTGTTCACGAAATCTGGGCAAACATCATTCAGATTGCTCTTTCAGCCTGGCACCTGTACCGCGTTATCGGGCTGTCTTTCCTCGCCCCGTTGATATTGGTTGCCTTTGCCTTTGCAACCTCCATTGTCTTGTCAAAGTACGCTACCAAATATCAACGAAATTGGATGCAATTCGTCGAGAAACGTATTGGGGTAACCAGCTACGCGCTCTCTCACGTCAAAGAATACAGGATTTCAGGAATGACTTCTCCAGTCCAGAACCTGGTTCAAGAGGAGCGTGTGGAAGAAATCCGCCAAGGGGGGAAGTCTCGAGGAATCATCGGCATCTCTGCCACGACCTCCTACATTCCTCAGGCACTGGCGCCGGTGTTGACCTTTGCATTTGGGTCGAAAGTTATCGACAGCACCAAGGCTTTTACAACTTTGTCATTCCTCTCGCTTCTCACTTCTCCTCTAATGCTTGTCCTCCAAGTGATCCCGATTCTCTCGGCTTGTTTTGCTTGTTTGAGGCGGATTTATGAGTTCACTTTGACTCCGAACAGACAGGACCCTCGACTAGCAAAAGGACAGTTGGTTACATCAATTAACGAGAAATCTGCAAGAAAGCAATCGAGCTTAGACACAGCGGTCATTCTTACGGGCGCTAGTCTTGGCTGGGTTGCTGAGACACCTGTTTTGAAAGATGTCAACGTCTCTGTTGAGAGGTCATCCTTCACGTTTGTCATTGGCACAGTTGCTTCCGGGAAATCTACCCTCTGCAAAGGCATGCTCGGGGAAGCGCCTTTCTGCACTGGCCAGATCATGGTTGATGCCGCTGCCGACAAGATTGGGTACTGTGACCAAAGCCCTTTCCTCATGAATGCTACTGTCATGGAGAACATTGTCGGAAGCTCATCCTTTGACTCACGGAGATATAATGACGTGATATCAGCAACAATGCTAGAGGAGGACCTGAAGACGTTTTCCCAAAAAGACCAGACCAAGATTGGCAGCAAGGGAGTCTCATTGAGTGGAGGTCAACGGCAACGCATCTCACTGGCTCGTGCTCTTTACCATGACGCCGAGCTTTTAATTCTTGATGATGTTTTTACAGGACTGGATGAGAAGACTAGCCAGCAGATCTGCTGGAGAGTGTTCGGCCCTGAAGGTTTACTACGCTCTCGCCGAACAACTGTTGTGCTCTGCACTCAAGCTACACAGTTCATGTTCGTTGCTGACCAGATTGTCCAGCTTTCGTCTAACGGCACTGTAACAAAACAAGGCGCTGCAGAAAATTTCATCAAAGAAACTGCCTATCCGCAGAACTATGAAGTTCTGAGTCTAGGACAGAAGATAGAAGATACAGATGACGTTCTACAAGGATCTTCTTTGGAGCAAAATACCACAAAGACAAAGGATACACCTACGGTGAACGTGACAGGAAACCATGCGTCTAAAACGGACACTTCGTTATATCTTCATTACATGTCATCCATAGGCTGGCCTCTTGTGATATTTTTCTTGATTGTCACTGCCAGTACAGGATTCTTTTTCAACTTCCCCGCAATTTGGCTCAGAATCTGGTCTGCAGACAGCGTAAAGGACATGCCAAGTTATTCCTTCGCGTTCTATATCGGCATTTTCGTCCTCGTCGCGGTTCTCGGCGTGTTTGTCGTCTTCGCAATGGGATTGATCAACCTGCAAACATTTGTCCGTTTGTCTGGAACCCATCTTCATGAGCAGGTCCTTCAGACGGCAATGCACTCCAGTCTTCGCTTCTTGACCACCACAGACACGGGGAAAATCCTCAACTTGTTCTCTCAGGATATGACTATCATCGACTCTCAGCTGCCACGGATGGTCAACAACTTTTTGAACACTTTGGCTTCCTCCCTTGGTCAAGCAATCATTGTGGCGCTGTCCTCCGGATACCTGGCTATTAGCTATCCATTTTTCATTCTAATTCTGTTTGGTCTACAGAAGGTGTATTTGCCTACTTCTAAGCAGCTCCGTATTTTGGACTTAGAGGCTAAGTCTCCGTTGTTGTAAGCCTTTCCTTCTGAAACAAGCGTACATCCATGGATGATGGCTGCCGTCTTATTATATTTCCTAATACTCAAACACGTAACTAACGTCGAACCTCCTACATAGCACACATTTCCTTGATACTCAAGATGGAATCACCACCCTCCGTGCTTTTGGGTGGATACCTGACCAAATCTCCCGAAATAAAGATCTCCTGAACTCCTCACAGCGCCCAAGCTATTTGCTTGCCATGGCACAGCAATGGTTACTTCTGGTCATGAACATCATTGTCGCGATACTCGCGATCATTCTGGTATCGCTCGCTACCAATTTGCAAAACATCAACAGCGGTTCGGTTGGTGCTGGGTTGGTCATGCTCATGGGTCTAGGGGCTTCGATGACGGCAGTGATCAACTCTTACACTGGCCTGGAAATAGCACTTGGTGGAATCAACAGATTGAAGACGTTTGGCGAGACCACGGAGCGAGAAGACAAACCTGGTGAAGATGCTGTACCTGCTCTTGAATGGCCTTCGAACGGAAACATCACCCTCTCCGACGTAGCGGCGAGCTACACGAATGATGCCAATGCCCTGGTTCTATCAGAGGTCGCCCTCGATATTAAGTCAGGTGAGAAGGTCGCTGTGTGCGGCAGGACTGGAAGGTGAGCTTGAATCCTACTGAGCCTCTTTGGATACGACTAACACTATAAATGTAGCGGCAAGTCTTCGCTCATCAGTCTGATTCTTCGCATGATTGACCCCCTCACCCCTCATGGATCACAACTTCCGTCGATAGCTATTGATGGAGCGCATCTTGGGAACATTAACCGTACTGCCTTACGTGAGAGGATCATCGCGCTATCGCAAGACGCCGTGTTCCTGCCCGAAGGTAGCTCATTTAGGGCAAATCTCGACCCTTGGAATGATGCTTCACGTGAAGAGGCGATGGACGCTCTCGCTGTGGTCGGATTGCTTGACGTATTGCAAGATAGAGGCGGTCTGGATGCCTTGGTCAAGAACGCAGAGCTGAGTGCTGGCCAAAAGCAAATGTTCGCACTGGGTCGTGCCATCCTCCGTCATCGCGTTCGAGCTAGGAAGATGTCTGAGAAGGGATTGTTGGAGGGAGGAGTTTTGTTGCTGGATGAGGTCACTGCTAGCGTGGACAAGGAGACTGAGAGGCAAATGCTTGAACTCGTGTGGAGGGAGTTTGAGGCTTACACGATCCTAATGGTCACACACAGCACCCAGGCTGCCGTCCGTTGCGACCGGGTCGTCATTATGGAAAAAGGGAAGATCGTGGAGGATGGTGAGAGCGGAGCTTTGATGCAGGACGAAGCAAGTAAATTCCGAGCGCTGGCTGGATCGTTGGCTGACAACTGAGGAGGTTATTGCATACGCTTCCTCTCACTGGCAATCCTATGAATAAGTTCGAACGGATGATGGATTCCTCCCTTGCCTAGCGGACTTTAAGCATAAAGGGGCAAATAGAGAGACAGCTTTATTTTGATCATCTTATAAATACCGGCATGCCTGGAGCCCAATTCTTGTGCCGCTGCATCACCAACATATCTACATCGTGTCCCTCCCCATTATAACTAATCTGATCCTTGAGGCTTGCATATATTGAGTAGCCAAATCTCTCAAGTGTTTCCAGCATTGCGAGGATCATCAACGGCATGTGGACTGTGTCTTCGCTACTGGGTACCCAGGTGGAGCCATGAAACTTGATCTCCAGGTGCTCGCGTGTCACCTCATGTCTGCTCACTTCGCTCCCAAATGTTTGTAGTAGGGCTGCGCTGAGGTCTGGTTGAGGAGGTGGTGTTATCCTAAGTCGGTCATACCGGTAAGGTGATATGCATATCCAATCGCTGGGAGGCGGCGGTGGGCTTCTGTGTTGAAAGATGAGAGTGTCTATTTGGGGGATTCTGTTAGAAGGATAGGATCCCAACAACAGCCAGATGTTAGGGTCAGGTATGAAACGAACCTCTGGCGGTCTGCTTTTTGCTCAGATCTGCGGCTACATGTAGCACCCATCCCATGTCATGCAACGCCTCGAGAACCTTGAGCACGAGCTGCCGAGAGTCATCATTTCTGCTATAACTTGCTCTCCAAGGGGAGCCGTGCAGCTTGAATTCACGCGACCCGGCGTAGTCGCGAACGCCTTGGATTCCCTTTGGCCAGGTGGTATCTATGATTCCCTGCATGGTTCCAACGACGTCGGGCGGAAAACGAATAAAGCGAATGCAGTCCGCTAGGTTGAGTGACGCATGCCAACTGGGTTCGAAAAACGTCGGCTTGTGCCTGTTGTGGCTGCTTTGCGGACTGATATGATGGAATCCCATCAGTAGGCTGAAAAGGAGGAGGGCCGTCTTTGGCTGGATTGCCCATAATGTTCGAGATAAAACAAAGGAAGTAGATGGAAAGCGAATATTGGTTTGTTTCCGGCTATTGTCAATTTTGCACTGAGTAACTCAACAGCAGTTGGCTGTAATGCTTTAATCAAACAAGGAGTACTTTCGGCCCTGGTGGCGTCTGACCTGAGTTTCCATTCTTAGTATTGAATGCACACGTACGTTTGACTTTTGGGGCTGGACACCACTTGGTGAGAAGCAAGCTCAGCCACGATGTCATGGATCAGTGTGACTGGAACCACTACTTGGGCAGATTACAAGGTAATGGTTCAGACGATCATGACGTATGACGCATAAACCGGGTGTAAAGGTAGTCTAAAGAATATAGCTACTCTCGCTTTTTAGTTTGAGATATTTCCAGGTATCAGAATACAAAGCGCAACTAAGTTATCCCCGGAGTCGACGCTCTCAAAGTGAATAAGACAGTTCAGTGAGCTGTATGAAATATGAACGCATTTGATGGTAGAGGTTAAAAAGGACTTGGTTTTACTTAGATGATACTTGGGTTATCTAGCTAGTGAATCAAGCATTTATTGACCTTTACCAGTTCGTGGGGCCCCGGACATGTCGAACCTTCATAATGGCAGCCCTTGCAGAGGATGAAAGATCCACCTGCACACATATTACACCAGTAGCGAGAGTCCTTCTTCGTCACATGCTTCATGCACATGTGGCAGTACGAATCGCAAAATCCCCTAGCCTTGCTTACATTGCGATTCTTAACCCCCCCATCCCAGTCGGTATCGAGAAACATGTCCTTGAGCTGCACATTGGCGGAAGCTCGCACCCAACCGGCCAAAGTCTTTCCATTGAAATCTTTGGTATCTAATGGAGCTCGGGCAGCTTTCAGGAGTTCGGCGGCCGTCTTATAATATCCATTTCTCATGGCCGCACACAATGGAGTTGAGTTGTAAATGTCCCTCTGGAGGATGATGTCGGTGTTCATCACAGGTAAAGCAAGTAGCTTGTTGACTATTTGGTGGTGGCCCTGTGAAGCGGCTATGAATAATGCTGTGCGACCGGCAGCATCCGCTTTGAGAGGCTCACAGCCTGGCTGTTCGAGAAGCAATTCGATAACCTGAGTGTGCCCATAGAAGGAGGCGGACTGAAGCGGGGTCCAGCCCGAATTATCTGAGATCGAATGATCGGCACCGTTTTCAAGTAGAAGTTTGACGGCATCATGATGGCCCGAATTAGCGGCCGAGTGAAGCGGTGTCCAGCCCATCTTATTTCGAACGTTGACATCATCAGTGACAATGGTTAATTCCGGATGCTGTTGGGACCGAGAGCTTTGGTCTGCCGAAGTTGATTCATTGATGGAGACAACCGTGAACGGGTCATAGTTGAGGAGAAGTTTGATCAAATCAAGATTGCCACTTTGGGAAGCGAGATGAAGTGGCGTGAAGCCATTGCAATCAACACCGTGAATTTGCTCAGGGCAATCAGCAAGAAGGTATTCGGCGATGTCGAGCCAGCCATCAGTACAAGCCAAGTGCAACGGCATTTGTCCGTTGTTCATTATCGCCTTCGAATTTGCTCCAGCCTCCACTAGTAGCTTCACAATATCAAAGTAGCCTCCAGCTGCTGCCGCATGTAAAGCTGTCTGATCCTTATGGTTTGGATCCTGCTGGTTCACAACTGTGATATCAGCAGCTAAGAGCTCCTTGACTACTTCCAAATATCCCTTGGCTGAAGCTTGGCGCAGTGGCATGCCAATCTTGATATTTGCACCCTTTTTGATGATCAAGTTGGCTATATCGAGCAGGCCGTGGTCGATGGAGAAACAGAGAGCCGTTCGACCTGGCTCGTGCTGATTGTTCAAATCAACACCCTCGGAGATCAGAAGCTCCGCAGTCTCGTAATGCTTGTTCAGCAATGCCGAGTAAAGCAGGCTGTGGCCGTTATCGTTTTTCGAGTTAAGATCCGCACCCCTTTGGCAGAGTAGCTTTACTATGCCATGCCTTCCTCTCTCAGCAGCTGCATGAAGTGGTGTCTGGCCTACGTTGTTTGGTGTATCAATCTCTGCGCCCGCATCGAGTAGAAGCTCTACCACCTTCTTGTGGTTCTTGTAGGCTGCAACTAGTAGTGGCGTTTGCCCTCGTATATTCGGTACGTTTAGCAGGGTGCTGCCGTTGTGGGTAAGGGGTTGAGGAGCGTCGGGAGCGTCGGGAGCGCCTGTGGCAGCATCGACGTCGCTGGCTAGGCGGATGACTAGGTCGTGGTTCTCCTGTGTAGCCTCGGCATCTCCATTCGCATCAACTGCCACCTCAGGCTTTTGGGTATCAATGCATTCCTCTGCTGCGGGGGTTGCTGTCGGCCCGTTCATGGAAGCGATCGTGTCGCTTGTTCCATTGAGCAGAAAGTCGACCAATTCGTAGCGACCGTATTTGCAGGCCAAGTATAGGATGGTCCGTCCATCGACTTCTTTTTCTTCGAGAGATTCTCCTTGCTGGACAAGACGTTTGATTAGGTCTAGATCACCCGACCTCGCGGCCGTGAACATCTTAACACGGTCGACCTCGTCGCTTGTCTCCATATTGAGGTGGTACCTCAAGAATGACCTCGCGTCTTTGGAAGATAGAATCAGTATTGACAAGAGGCCTAGTCCAAAATATGGAAGGAATTCGAAATTTCCGATCTGCTTGACGCTGATTTCTTTGTTCTGACCCTCAGTTCATAAACTCTTTGGATACGGTAGGCAGCAGCACCGTGAATAAGAGTGAACGGACCCGTAGTGACAACCAATCTGCCTCGTGAGGCGGACGAGCCAGGGTCTCGCTGACCGCCGCAAGCCCCTTTTCAAAGTAACATGTCAAAATAAAGTTTATCAGGTTTTGGGATTTCGGAATGTATCTGCTCCATTCACAATATCCCGTTTCCTGAATCAAGATAATTTGGGAAATTTGTTCACTGCGTTGGGCTCTCTAATGCTGTCTCAAAGTGTACCCCTGAAATCGCCACAGTTGGTGATAGTAAGGCTGGTGATTGGGTTCGCTGTTTCCCATTGAGGATTCCCGACGACTGACATTCGTTTCGCCAATGGTATTCCTACGTATAAAGACTACTGGAATAGTCAACGTGGACCTTTGGAAGATGTAGTTTTAAGGGGCTCGTATTCGCAAACTCTTCCGGATGTTTCCCTGTCTTATGAAACCCCGAGGTGGCTGAATTGATTAAGTATAACGTTGACTGGACTTCGCAAAGTCGCGAGTTTCTCGACCCGGCAATCGATATTATTCTATTCCATACTTAAGCTATCAATAGACGGCTTGTCAAAATGCCACTACTTTTAAGAACTGTCGTCTCCGACCTGCTGGGTAGTGACGCTTCAGCTCGTTGGGCAAAATGCCAGATTGAGAACAGACAATGAATCCGCACTCACGAGAGTTAAGCCGCGTGCATTCATGTTCTTTTCAATGTGGCGATTTGGAACAAGATACTTCGGTGTCCTGTTAAACGAAGTAGATTCAGGAACGATAGCTAAAAGATAGAAAAAAGAAGAGTGATAGATATTTGACTGTAGTTCTACCCAATCAACACACCTTGGGACACAATCCATGCGTTCCGCATTATCGTTATAGCAGGTGCTCGCCCAATCCATATTTGAGTCCTGTTAGATAGCCACTTCTTCTCTGTGAACAACTCTATTGCTTAATTATGCAAGTTCCACTTCACTTGGTAATGTCCTTTGCTGAGGGGGCCAAACTTTTTGAAGACGGCAGGGGAAACATCGATATTATTTCTTCCGCAGCTCATACACTTGTCAACCACACGAGCCGTGACTTTTTTGCCGCCATAATGGATGGTGACCTTTTTCTGGCAAAGGGGATCTTTGTTGGGATTGGCCGCGGTCCAGTGAGGCACCCCAATCGCGACGATAATGTCATTGCCATTATAGGTCTTTCCACAGGCACCAAGGCCCTATATACGTTGTTAGTTAAAGACAGTGAGATGTTATTGGCACACGCTACCACGAACAGGGTTGTACCAAGTCATCTTGCCTTCCCTGGCAACGACAAAGCTAGTAGAGAGTGTAGCAAGAAGAATCTTCGTGATGGCAACCATTTTGAAGATTTCCGGGCTGAGGCTCAGGTATTGGTGGAGATGGTGAAGTTGCTTACGATCTCTCAAGAAAAGGAATGAGTGGACGGGAAATGGCTCTGTTAGAACAAGTTCGGTTTGATACAGGAGGGTGCCTTGACTTTATACCTTTTTACGCCAAGCATAGCTATTACCAGCAACAGAAAGAGGAAAGGGAAAATACCGAAGAGTTGCCACATAGCCACCGTAGCTAACAAAGTCCATTATGGGCCGTAGATTTAGAAGAGAGCTGATTTCGACTTCTCGAACAAGCAGGAAGATATGTGTCAGGTGAGAGTTTCAGAGTCCATTCTAAGCCCCAGGCTGGGAATGAGCACCATAACTCCCCTTTCAGAAAGTTCCGATTGCTCCTTCAAAAGATCATTCGACCAGATTCTCGTATTTGTCTCTATTTGAAATGCGGCACGGTTAATGAAGAGCAGACGTTACATTGAACCGCTGCCAGTGGCACAAAGCGAATGTCGCCACCGAATGATTTTGCCATTTTGTATATTTTTGAGCGGAGCTTTCAGCTCCCTTCCGTTTGAATTTTCAAATCACACACCGATAGGAATAATAGTAGCAGACATCACACGATCTGAGTAAGACAAATGCGAGCTTGGATCTTTTGCCAATGATGAAATATTACTATAGTAAACCCTAAAAGTCCAAAAGCCATGACGCCCTATCATGCTGACGTCTGAATCAGTAAGTCATCACAAGAACTTCGGCCTGAAGTGTTAACATTACGTCCAAAGTCCACAATGACCCGCCGCTTCCGGTGATCCGCGTCCTGTGATATCAAGAATATTACATGAGCCGATCTCAAAGATTCAATTGATTCGCTTTCGTACGTAACTAGGCAGACAGCCATGAGTTGACGGTAGCTAGCTTGTATGAGATGGTTTCACTGTCCTGTACTTAATTTATATGCGTTACGGCATATTATCTAAACGAAATATAATCATAGGGAGACATCAAGCGAGAATCATCTCAATATAGGGCAGGTTGACAGGGATAAGATCCATTGCAATAAACGCTTGGAACGAAAAGACTGGAGTTCTGCAGCCCAGTTGTTGCCCTCGGTGATTCTCCTTTTAGTCGGTGATCCGAAATCTGCACTGATACGGTTCTAACGTAGATTGTGAATTACCACTCAAGGTCGCGGGTTATGACTAGGTGGTAATCCAAGTTTCATTTTGCTTCTCCTCTCATCCAACCAAGCTTTCCAGACTGCTAGATCATGTAGCCTTATCTGCTTCCTTACCGCAATGTCGGTAAAGTTATCTTTCATACAGATGCCGTCAATCTTGTAGACACGATAGTCGTTCCCGTTGATTCGAAACGCAATGCGATCCATCACGCACTCTCAAAAGATGACCTCATACTCGATTCTTCGTCCGACGCTTCAGATAAGGTCAAAATATCCTAACAAAAATTCCGCAAGGCGAGATTCTGCTAGCATTGAAACATCGTTGGCTCCATAGCGCCCCTCTGATCAGTATCCAGCGTCACTGTCCAGCCCTGCCTCGCTGAAGATGGCACTTGGATAGCCATCAGTTGGTGCAAGTATATCAACTAACAGCTCCCTGACCACATAATTTAGCTCGAAATCTTCAAGACTGAAACATTCTTTTAGAAAAGGGAACTCTTGCCCAATGAACAGTGCAGTTAACATCATATATAAGTCTCGCACAGCTCCCGGAGGCCACCAGCGCCTGCCACAAAGCTCATGCTTCCCTAGAAGCATGGGTCCAAGTCCTCCGTGGGCCCGAAAAGGCGAATGGTGGCCTCAACAAAATCGATGTACTCTGTCGCTAGTTGCTGGGATAAATACAAGAGACCGCAGGACTTGACAAACATCATAAGTTTGTGAGATAAGAGGGGTAGGTACGGACGCTGTTTAGAGACGTGTGGCCTGATTGCTATCATCTTTCTCTTCGGCCAACATCAGCTTATATGTTAGTCCACTTTAATGCAGGGGGATTGTTGTTTGTCGGAACACCAATTCAGAGTCCGGACATGTCTTCAGGTTGTGTTATGCGGGAACAGGTCTCAAGATTACTTATAATTAAACTCTGGCAAGGCGTCTTGGATCTTCTCTTGATGAAAGAGCTCTCCTTTCGCCAGATATTACCGCTTTTACAGTCGACTAGTAATGCACGATGAGGTCTGCCAAGTTAGCTCCTGACCGGCTAGCCAAAAGGGAGATGGAGGCGTGGCGAGGCAATCAGTATGGGGCACGCGGTTCGCGCACCATTCTGTTTTCTTTTACGGGAGGCAGGGGCTGGCACAGCAATTTTGATCTCTCTAGAAGGGCTGTCAAGTCTGGAAAGGAGTTGACCGGCTGGAATTGGCTGGGCACTGCGGGGTCTAAGCAGGATTTGCTCTTAGGCCGTTGGCTGAGCTGCATGCAGGAATCACCATTTAGGCCAATTAGCAGTCGAGTCTCAGTGCACTGCCTCTCCCAGTGTAACAGCACGTGCTTTGAGGCAGAATGCAGACCGCTGCTATTCCGCTCATCAATTGGCAAGGCACTCAGCTGCTTGTTAGCTCGCCATCAGCTGTGCATCGGCGGTCCCCCTGGACTCAAACCACCCCTCTTCGGGAGATGAGCGATCGCCAACTACTATTCTCTTCCCCTCATATCCAACTGATTCTATTTAAAGGCAATGGAGAGACAGAGAGACTCGAGGAGGGGAGAGAACGCCGACACTCTTCCCAGCGCACCGGACGAGGACATTTCAAACGAGACATCCGAGGCCGCCCGGAATGTTTTACGCACAATTGACTGCCCGGATGGGAGTGCCTGTACCGCCTTCAGGTGCTTGTTTAGTCACGAAAGCAGGGCTGAGAACCAAGATCCTGACCTGTTCAACAGTCGATACGACTCCGCACAAGGCCAAACCACCCAAAGACCCTCCTATAGCGTTCTGAAGTCTATTCTTGTCGAATCATCGCTGTCTCCGGACGAGTCAGAAGCGCCAAACGGCGCGCAAGGTCCTTCAAGAGTCCCCAAGGACATATCGGCATTTCTTCTACCAAGCCAGGATACGGATAATGGTCCAGTCAATCCTGCTGCTAACGACTTATCCACAGTTCGGAAGGAGCAAGTCAAGACTGGAAATGATTCTAGCCATCCGGAACTGCGTACTGCCATCCGAAGGTTGTCATCCATTCCTCCGAGGAATTCAGCAATTGTTCTCCCGTCAATTCATAACCTGGGGCTTCCACTACCATCGCCGCCACCTCCGCGCATTCAACTTGGACCACCATATGCCCCTGTACTAACACGTCGTGAACTTCCTAAACACTCCAATCCTCATAAACTTCCTCAACACCCCAGACCTCTATCTATAATGTTCCAGCATGGTTTTGATGCCGAGCCACGTCCTGACCCTATGCATCATGCCGTGGGGCATCAGGCATCACGAGGTCAACCAGAAACCTCCCGTAGACCGACCGATCATCAGGCCGAATCTGATTTCCAACTACCACTGCCGGATCCCGGGTATGTTCTATCCCTCTACTTACATGTCTACCCATAAGCCCTCACTGACAAAGTCACCGCAGGTCTGGAAAATTCCAGTGCACAAAGTGCGATAAGTCCTTTAGGCTTGGCAAAGATCTTGAACGCCACTATAACAGCACCCACGCCATTGTTTCGGATCTGTACAAGTGCAGATGCAACTATAGCTCCTATAGGAAGGATCAGATGAAAGTTCATCTCAAGTCTAGGAATTGTGAACCCACGTTAGCGGATGCTGTTCATACGTGCATTTGCAAGGTGTTCAAAACATCCAGTGTGGTCGAGTATCTGGATCATATCGAGAACTGCGGCAAGAAGCGTCCGGGCAGGACGAAGAAGCACGGTAGCCCGGAACGAGATGAAGGATATGGTAGCCACAAGTATGCGCAGCCTAAAACTAAGCGATACCGGATCAGGTTTCTGTTTAGCCCTCGAAATACTCTGCAGAAGACTGACCACACTCTCTTAGATCAAATACCCCATTACCGGGTGAATTTGGTGTACAACATCATCAGTATAGGCATCAATCAGCGGCCGGCGACACTGACAGTCTGAAACAGAGATTTGACGACAATGAAGTCGGCGCCCGGGCGAAGCTTATCTGTCCCTTTAGGTACAGAGCCACCAAGCACAATTTATCATATCCGGATTCTGAGTTCTGCAAGGAGGGCAGGCAGTGGCCCAACATATCGAAACTTAGGTTTGTATACACCCCTGACCCTCGAAAATCTATTCTTCAATTAGAGACTCTAATAGCTCTATAACTAGAGAACACCTCAAAAAGGTGCACTCCTCAGAGTATCGATGCAGCGACTGCAACCACAAGTTCTCCCAAGTCTCTATTGCGGAGCTGCACGATCTCAAGGCGTCCCACCGACAGAAGTGCCCCAGGACGGGCCGTACTCCGCTCGCCGGCTTCGATATGACCGATGAGCAGTGGGAGAAGTGCAGAAACTGGAGTCAGAACCAGCATGTCGACCGCGGGTCCAGGAACGGCCTCTCGGAGCGCAAGCCCGCCTGGTCCTGGCGCCGTATCTACAACAGCCTCTTCCCCACCGACCGCCTGGATCCCTACGACAAGGCACTATACAACGACCTGCCGGAATTGCCTCCGGGGGAGCCTCAAAAGATGTCCGACTTCGTGTCCGTGTTCTCGCGGGACTTTACGCCCTTCGTCAACAGCTCGAATGAAGAACAATCCTGGCCGACAGAGTTGGAGGAGACAACGACTAAGCGGGGTCCTAGAATTCCTGGAATTTATACCCCAAGTTCTCTGGAAGCACAAAATAGCGGACAACTTCAAGACAATGGGCAGTCAATCAGATGCATGGTTTGTAAGCAAAAACAGGACCGTGATGCAGATACGGAATCGGTACGTTCTCTATCCTGCAGAAAATGCGGCGAACATGGTATGTCCTCTCTGTTCCTTGTCCAACTCTTTTCCTAACCCTTGTGCGAAGCTCACTATCAATGCGCCGCCAACCCACCATACACCGGCGATACCAACAACTTGGGCGATCGTGATATTATTATTAGCTCTAATTTCGATATGGAGAGCGATGTAGGGTTTTTGAGCATGTTCCCGGAGCCCGATATTTTCCCCACAAACTGGACATGCCCGAACTGTGTCGAGGACGCTTCTGAGAGCGACGGAAACGCGAAGCGTAGCCTTGAGAATTCTGCATCCCCTGAACCTTTGACAAGAACAAAGTCTGATACAATTCAGGGGATAATGTCCAGGGCGTCCGAGGAAAGGCCAGATCCTGCGGAGTCTGACGTGGCGCCGTCAAAGCGGAATCCATCGATCCAACCTACGGTGGACAATCAGCTGAAAAAGAATTCCGGACATATCGACACTGATCAGCTTCCGGTACCAAACGAAAATTCCGACTCTAGTACTTTTAAAGATTTTGTCAGCAAATTTTCTCTCGGTCACACTGGTTCTGCCTCTGTAGATGCCGATCAAGACAGTCAGTTGAACAAGGATACTCGAGGTATCGGTGCTGATGAGGTTCCTGTGCCAGATGAAGAACCTGGTCCCAGTACCTTTAAAGATTTTATCAGCAGATTTTCGCTCGACCACACCGATTCTGCCTCTGCAGATACCGGCCAAGTGCAGCAAAGTGACTTGGCTCGGGCCATCGAAGCGCCAACTGACTCAGGATATGGCTCTCAGTTGGCAACAGGGGTCCAAAAAAGTTTTATTCAGCATCATGCTGTAGATGCGCAATACGAGCCTGATGTGGGCTTCGACGACACCGCAACGGAATATTCAGATACTTCGAGTGTTGCAACTTGGAAAAAGGAAAGCTATATCGAGGAATTCGTCGATGACTTGGTGGCTGGAGTCCGTGAGCTGCAACCGGATGAAGAGACTCTGAACAGAATCTCGGCACTTCTCCCGGATTTGTTGAAAGCCTTCGCTCTACGAGTGGGATACAATGCACCATCTCGCATGCACCGTGATGTTATGTACTTCATCCACAAATATCGAGGGTAATCACACTCTGTTCCACACTCATTCTTCTGCCCATCTTCTAATAACATAGGCTAACGGCTAAAATAAGGATGATCTCAAGCAACTTTAAGGAGAAAAGTCTGCATCGAGGAGAGGAATCATCTGACGCAACATTGTTGCCCGGAGAAGGAGATCGAATTCCACTACAGGATTTGATCAAGACCTGGTTTTCTTCTCAGAGTAATGTTGAGATCGGGCCTGAAAATGAGTCTTGGGATCCCATGCCGAGATGCGACGATTCAGACTCAGAGTCTCAGGCATCCACCCATACTGACACGTGCCATGACATGACTAAAGGAGACAATGACGTTTGGCTTCGCAGCTACCGTGACTTTATCCGTAGCTCTGAAGTTTTCCAGTGGCTTCTCGGCCGCCTATACGTGGAGTCCAGCTTGGTTAAGACTGAACCAAGAGCCATGGAGGCAATTAGAACCAAGATCATATCTTCACTCAGCCCATCCCGGCGAATTAGCAGGAATGTATCTTCCGAGTGCTTCAACGCTTCATTCTGTGTTGGCTGGGACTTGTTTGGCTTCTTTCAAGGCCAAGAGTATGAGCTTGATGCGGCTGAGGTCATTTCAGGAATCATTACCCTCACGGGATCGGAAAATGATGCCCAAGCCTTGACTTGCTCACAGTACCTGAGCCAGACGTGGCCTACCACAGGTTGCTTGACCTTGAGAGTGATAAAAGACATTCTACTCAGTGGTCCAAACCACTTGCAGAAATGTAAGTCTTCACATGAACGTTGAAACGTAGGCTACGACTCATACGTTTATCAACAGGCACCTACCCGGATGGAACGACATTAGATGCTAGACTGCATGATTCAACGTTTACCGCTCAAGTTACTGGAGTGGCAGACTCTATAGCGGAAATCGGAGAACAAATCGCTTGGATATCGGCTTCTCTTCGCACATCGCACCTTTCCAGCGGGCTTCTTTACTGCACGCCAATTATTTCTCGGGTCTGTGTGAATCTTCTAGATCTCCAGACTCAGCAGTCGAAATCTCGCCTCAATGTTACTTTCGACATCAATATCCGTTCCGTGGAGGTCTCAAGACTAATGAAACTTGACGATGGTCAATGCTGGCATAACATGTTCCTCAACCCCGTAGTTGTCAAAGGTTATCCCGTTCGACGAAAGGCCGAGAAGAATAGCGGCGTGGAGATGACGCTTGACATCATGGCTGGTTTGGCACGCACAAATGTGGTGGATGAGTTCAAAGGCACGACATTCATCAAGGGATTCTCCACGCTGCTCGTCCCAACCCAAAAAGTCAAAGAGACCATTCTATGGCATCTTGTTTACAATGAGGATGGTACTCGAATATCATTCAACGACCATAACTTGCCTCACGTCGAACGAGTTAGTAGCTTGGAACTCACCCATTCTCGACATGTTGTCGGTTGGTGCTCCGAAGCACGCTTCTTTCCAGGTAAACGAGGCCCAGGTCGGCCCGCACAAAATCTCAACTGACAAGCTAAAATTATAGGATCTGATCAATGCAACTACACCATTGGCACCTCCGGGCTTCCTAAACCTCATCAAGGCTGTGCTTTGGCAAATCTCTTTGTATCTCCAGGAAGATGCATAGTGAGTAACGCATTATACAGCCTGGGGAAAAAAGACACCCCTGTACATGTGGCACGCAATGGCTACATTCCAAAACTTCAGTGGCTTTCGACTAAACTCGTTCTCGTATGGGACGAGCAGGATAAGCGTGGTTGGCTCATTAATGGCACCAGTGCGCTATTATATCTCGTTAGGAGCTCTTTGGAACACAACAGTCGCGACAAGTTCAGGTCGGCCTTTATCTTCAAGAAAGAAGATCTCAAAGAATCACCATATCCCTACACCGCAGATTCGGCAAACGACGTCTTGATCAACGAGGAAAATTGCGCGCTCAAGTTGTATAAAGAGAACAACCATTTCCTGCTCCTCCAAGGTCGCATAGAGCATTATTACAACATCTTGGAGAAACTCATAGATCATCAATCTGATGTAAGCCAGGATAGTGAGGTCAATATGGAAAATCTAGCACGAGGGGTTCTTGAGGGCTGGGACTTCAAAGACCTCGCCACAAACCGAGATCCGCTGTATCCCCGGATATCTCACCTTGAAGCCAGCGGTAAAGCGTGGGTAGACTTCGCCCGCGCTGCGCAAGTGATAACACTTTTTGGAAAAGGGTTCGGAGAGCTCATTAAGCCGACAGGCACCGGCTTGTGTCAGTACTGGTCCGAGTTACCGAAGCAAAACTACTACATTGCCGCATGTCTTTCAGATCTCGATCTATGGGTCGAGAATAACGACCATTATAACGACGACCAGGTGAGGCTGACGGAAAATATAATCTGGCATACGCCATCCTCCTACCTCTTCGGTTCATGCCGATGTGTAGGATCACTCGGTCCAGATCACTGCGAACCCGTGCAGACATTGGTGCCGGTATCATTGTCGCATATACTGCTTCCAAGAAAGGTACAAATTCCTTCTCAAGGTCGTGGGGCAGTAATTTTCGGACAACACTCTACATTCGCTTGGGTTTGGGGTGACTACGGTGACCCTGAGCAAGGGAAGCTGTCATCTGATGTTTCATCAAAAAGATCAGAGGCAGGCTCATCTTTCGCGGACAGCGGAATCAGCCTAGAGCGCAGCAAGTCAACACTCTCTCGCGAAAGCAGTACCCCCGAACTTAAGAGGCGCTGGGCTGATCTCGATTACGAGAATGGCAGTTTCATAGCGAACTCCTTGACTTCAATGAGCGGATCCCATGAACACGGCCTGCGAGACCCCATCAATTATACTGTTGGTATACTTTGCGCACTTCCAAAGGAATCTCTAGCGGTGAGAGCGCTGTTTGATAAGTGCCATGGCAAGCCGGATCTTTCCTATGGAGACAGCAACCATTACTCTCTGGGGCAAATTGGGAAACACATGGTGGTCGTAGCATGCCTCCCTGAAGGTGAATATGGAACCAACCCGGCGGCAGAGTCGGCTTCGAACATGAAGCGGAGTTTTCCAGCCATCCAGTTCTGTCTTTTGATCGGCATTGGTGGTGGTGCGCCCTCTGAACAGAACGATATTCGACTAGGAGACGTGGTTGTGAGCAAACCGACCAAGACGTTTCCAGGTGTAATCCAATACGATCGGGGAAAGGCAAATGAGAATAGCGACTTTCAATTGACGGGTGCTCTGCAACGGCCACCTCGGTTTCTCATGACAGCGGTCAGCTCCCTTTCATCAGATCCAAACCTGCCTTCTGATCCTCTTGAACCTTACCTTCAAGAGATCATACAACGAGTTCCCGATTCAAAGAAATCACGATATCAGCATCCTGGGCAGAAATATGACGAGCTATTCGATGAAGCGTGCCCCAAATGCCAGGTTCGAGAGCGTTGTATCAATCGAAAGAGGCACCTTAGGCGTAGAGCACCCCGACCCAACAACAGTCCGGAGATACACTATGGCCTGATTGCATCTGGTAATCTAGTGATCAAAGACGCCCAGGTTCGAGACCAATGGGTGAAAAAATACGGTGTGATGTGTTTTGAGATGGAAGCCGCAGGTGTCATGAACACATTCCCATGTCTTGTAATTCGGGGGATCTGTGACTATTCAGACTCCTACAAGAACGAGAAATGGCAAGAGTATGCTGCAGCGACGGCAGCAGCCTATGGCAAGCTTCTCTTGAACGAAGTTTCCCCGTCCAGTCTCAGCTACAGTCCGAGCTCAGAACTCAAACACAGGACACTTGAATATCTGTATCCTGAAGAAAGCACGGCAAAACGAAGAAGATTATGAAGTGACGGAGACAAGCTGTTGGAATGGCAACAGCATGGTCCGGCTTATATGCTCGGACGACAGGCGTTAAAAGCGAAAAGCACCTTGGAGGGTGTATTAGAAAATAATATAATATCTCTCACCTATCCCCACCAAAGTACTAAAAACTACATAAAAATAAAAGATTGACTTTCTTCTGGTTCTGAAACCTAAGGTAGCTACATATGTTCAGATTCTTAAGTAGACCATGGTTTTGTCTGGACACTTACCGAGACTCTATCCGCCGTATTTCCAAGTCATTCATTGCACTCAGTTCTCCTAGAAGATTATGCAAAGCACCGCGGCAAGGTTTCTAAACCTTGAGAACATAGCCTTAGATTGATTTTCCAACCCGGTGGCAAAAACTCCCTTTCCTTTTGCCGTGTAAGCGAGGGCTATCAGAACGGTACAGCATAAGTACGGTCACACTTTTAGAATAAGGCGGGGATATGGTTCCCTGGCTGATGTCTCATGCTAATGGAAAATGTGCGTTATTTGCGGTGAACACGTAAGCGTCGTAAGAATTTGCCTTCCTGATTCCGTATAGTTTACAGGCAAGACAATCAATCCCTGCGCGTTAAAAGCGCAACATGCAGGGCGGTGGGGGTTGGCTCAAAGCTGCAGCTCAGCCTAGAGCACATATCATACGTAGCTTCATATTAGGCTTTCTAGAGTTCTTTTATGTGCTGTCGTGAATCCAATAGATTCGTTGTGTTGAGATGTCGGTGCGGCATCTTCACCTTATTTTACTTTTATTATACCGAAACTCTCTTAAGTGAGTCCAATATATTCTTCTGGAAAATCGACTAAATTCAATATCTAGATTGAATCTCCACAGTAATAGCTTCGATCAAGAACATCGGTCTTTCTGTTTGATAGAATCCATCCAACACAATGGTGGGCCAGGATCCCTGGCCATGGAAATTTTCTCCAGTTCGCTGACGAAAATATTGAAAATCAGGTCATCGAGATGACAAATTTCCGGGAATAGAGCATCAATGAGGCGATATGATACTAAACCAGCGGTAAGTTGCCATTGAACCTGCTTCTGATAGTGCCACATAAGTGACGATGACCCTGTCCAACCATCGAGATGAAATCCTACCCTGGTTAGATATTAGCGCGATCCTTGCCGATGAGGAATCAGCATCGGAAATCACACCAACACGCCTGAGGAGTCCTCGGACAGTTCCGATGATCTACACATAAGTACTGCCAAGAACCGCTTGCCAACCTTGTCTAAACAAGTATCAGTCCAAGATCAGTGCAATATCCTCAAGCAACCACTTATCAACCATCATGAGGCAGTTTACCTTCATTTCTCTTGCCCTGACCGGCTTTTCTACGGTCACCAATGCATTCCAGGCAATCGGAACCGATTTCTCGACCGTTGTTTCTCAGAAACTGTTTTCAGACGGAAGTGAGTTTTTGAATCAAAATGAAGCCAGTTATTTGCTGACCAATTGTACTAGAGACCTTATATCTTGGTGATTATGCACTCTTGGGCAGCAGCGAGGCTGCACCTGTGGACCGTAAGTCTCTTCAAGACTGACCAGTTATGATTTCTTGAAATTGACCTCATGTCTGTTAGTTGACAATTCCGTTGCAACTGCATGGATAGCCACTCCTGTTGCAACTGGCGATACCACTCCCACCTGGTCTGGTCTTCATCTCGCCGTCCCCTCGTCAACGGACGTTGGGTATTCCGCTGTTCTTCTGGACCCATCCGCCGACCTTTCCAACTACTGGCATGAATTCTATGTCTACAACCCTATTATCCTCGTGCAGACCGATAGTGTTGGATTGCAAGATTACTGGTATGCTGTGAAGTCTGGAATTGATGGCGTGTGGAAATTGGAGTGGCAGAGCAGCGGCGATGATGCTACTCGCATTCAACTGCGGAAATCTTCCTAAAAACGTATTAATCACCTTCAAATTTTCGAGGGCGCTTCACAGCGAGAATTGAAGTCCGGAGACTACGATTTGGCTTCATGACGGGCTTAGGGTGCTTGTCGATGACAGGATATCTATTTCATGACTCTCAGATAAGGATGAAGCACTCATGTTAGATAGAGCCCGACTCTATCAATGTTGAGTCAAAGCAGGCCCCTTTTGCGGCTTTCAAGGTCATCATCGCATAGCCACAGAAACATGTTAACTCCCAACAGCGCATCTTACTACAAGTGCAAGTTACATAATTTCAGCAGCTCGCCATTATCTACTTACCTTCGTAGCGTCGACATTCACGAATACCTTAGTCGATGGAAGGCTTGATGGGCTGTCTTGATAAACAAAAACCAGGGTTTTTGAAGGGGTGAACAACCCATTAGATATCTTTAACGGATACTTGATGCTGTAATGAGGTGTGTTCGATGGTGTGGCCGGTGAAGTTATCGATCAGAGTCTCAGTCGACTGATCGATGCAAGTTCCAGGTCAGATCAGTAGGAGAAACAAAAGCCTGGACTGTCGCTCCTACTGCCCTAGCATTATCCCAGTGCAGCTTCAAAGCAGATGTTTTCGATCGCACATGATGCAGAGAGCTCGAACGTGACTAAATCGCTAAACGGGGTGTACACTCCTGAGATCCTCTATCAAGCAGTAGATGCTTTGGCGATGGATCTTTACCAAGAGGTTACAATTCTTGGGCCCTCGCTGTCAACACTGAAAATATATTGTACACCTCTTCTGCATTACTGCTTACGGCCTAAGCGCCAGGATTGAAGAGCATGTAGCTGTCCATACGTTAATTGTGCGGGAACTAATCCGGGCCGCACCCGCACCCCCTTTTCTATTTTCCTGACAGGTATGTTATTCCATATTCATTCTCTACCAAGTCTTCTACTCCATGGGATCAGAATCTTTCTTGTCAAGCTATCCTAAACATTGACCTTCATAAGTCTGCTTGATCGTCATTGATGATCTTGCCAGTCAGATTGTTGTCTCAGCCGTGTTCGGCTGCTTGAGCGGTGCTGCCCAAGCCTTGATTCGCTCTTTTTGGTCTAATTCGCGCCCAATATGCCCAAATACAGTGTCACTCCTAGAATTAACCTCTGCATACGGGGCCTTAATCAATGAGAAATGTTCTTTTTCGAAGAAGGACCATTTCCCCTGCTGTCGACTGATTCCGATGCTGAGAATTTTAGGTCATAGCACACGATATTTGAAACAACAATTCTTTTTTATTAACAATAAATTTTTAATATCAATCAACACATGATATACCTAATGAAAGATACTCCTTCTCTCGCCTGAGGAAAAAGAGACGAATGTTACAGGGGGCTGGTGGAGACGGCGCATATTGAAACTTCGGCGATAACTCAATAGAGAAGAGCAAGCAGATGACCACTACGCTTACAGGGCGGCTATTATTTTTATCATCATCGCAGAAAAATTTCTTTCCATCAATCATTCTCTTGTTTTGTAGCACGACACTTGTTGCTCCACGGAGCTTTGGGTGAGGAGGCACTTTGCATCCGAGTCGGAGTCAACCATGGCTCTTTACAACTACCTAGGTAAACGTACTCGACAGTAAATAACTGAGACGGGGTTAGGGCAAGTTATGTCTGACTTGAGGGACTTTCAGGTCACATTTGGTGAATTGACACGTCGAATGCATGAGATAGCTGTTAAATCAGATGAGATACTGATTTTGAGCATACTTTGGTTGGAAAGTAGTATTAGAAGCTATAATTGGGATGGCCACTGCGGGCAAAGAGGCGACCAGCCCCCATAGAAGGCATATTTTAATTTATTTTCCTCGTCTTATTGGTTAAGCACCTCGAAGCGAAGGTAGCCATGCATTGTAGATAAGCGCCGGGACATAAAGAGGTAATAACCACCGTCAGCTCAGTCGTCCACTGGTAAACATACCCTGCAATTCTCTGCATCTCTTTATTGGTAGCATCAGAACTGTTGTCCATTTAGACTACTCGTTGTGTATATAACGTTCAATATTCCCCGGCTTGGTTCATCGAGAAGGCGTCTTTCCATCATCCCAAACACTAGACCATTAAGCAACATTTACAATGTCCAACACTTTCCGCTCAGCTTTGTTATCAATGTCCCTTTGGGCACCTGTGGTCTCAGCCCTTCGAGGAGAGAAATTCACATTATGGTTCCCCACACACGAATATCACTGGCTCGAAGTCGCCCAGCAGAATTGCTCCCTCCAAATCAGCGACTACCACGAGAATAACCGAGAGAGAACAACCTCGCCATGTGCCGCCGCTTTAGACTGTCTTCTCGAGAATTCGACTGAGTCGATCAAGTCAAACCTGGCCGGATCCCAGGTCCTCCTAGGTCTGACTCCCAGTATCCTGGCCTACGTGGGATCCGACATGGCCGAGCTGGCTGTACTAGCTACGCAGCGGCCGTATCTAGCGCTCCTCATGTCCATCGGGGCTCCGACGCAACAGATTCGGCAGATACTCTCTTCAGTAGACGTCGCTCAAATAATCAATAAGCCGTCTTCTAGAGTCGCTCGTATGTACTTCGGGTGGCTTTGGAATCTCCCCACCGTTTTTCAAAGGCTGGCGGCCGCTGCAGTGTACGCGCTCGCCATCGGTGCGATGATCAACAGTGTGCAAGGAGCCATCTACCTCGACGCAAGAACAGTCGTTGGTTTCAGGTGCAACGCGGTCTATCTGGTGTTGGTCTGGGTGTTGCTGGGCATCACCCCGACCATATTCGCCATCGGGGCTATCCGACAGCGACATTGCCTGCCTAACCTCGCGTCATTTGCTCAGTTCGTCGAGTACACTGATGCTAGAGCACCACAAGAAGACAAAGAGGACGGGTTGACATTGGTACCTTCATTAACAGAATCGACAGACGAATCGCGCGGTAAATGGATAAGCGATGTTCTCTTCTTGCTCGCGAGTCTTGCGGCGCTTGTACAGTTTGTGTATGGAACGGCAATACTGTCAGCATTGACGCCAATCTCTTTCATGGATGCTCTGCCGGTAGTCATGCGTTTTGCGGTTAGCAATGTTGTTTGTCGCGCGTTGTTGCTGCTGGAGCTTGAGGGCATACGGATCAGGGTACATGGAAGCCTGAGACTCGTGGATGATAATGCAAATTTCTGATCGAGTACAACAAGAGTTTCTTATTTCTTTTTTGATACTTAAATAGAGGCAGCATCCATCCTAGATCATGTCGCGAGCGACTTCATCTACCCAGTCACACTCAAAGGAAAGTTTACCATCCTCGGGAAGCAACAATCGCGTCAAATCTCGAAACGAAACCCCGGGCTCCGTATCCTGGAGGCCGGGGATACCGGAAGGCTTCCAAAATTCCCCATCCTCCGGGACCCAAGAGACGATTTCGAAAGTGTGCCTATGCAGAGGAAACAATCGATCGGTGATGATTCGCCGGAGCTTACTGTGATCCCCCCAACGAAACTGTCCATGGGCAGCAAAACCACCGCCTCCACCGTGAAGAATACCCCTGAGAATTCCGTTCACAAGCTCACGGGGCTCGATCATTCCCCTGGATTTCCCGCCTTGCGTAACAGATATGGTCGTGAGGTTCCTTGCGTGGGCTAGAGCTTCCCCTATTCGGACCTATTATGACAATTTGCATTAGTTAGCTCTCGTCTATTTCATATAACGAATAAACATATCGAGAGGGTTTTTCTTGCCGTGTCTTGAGGATGTGCAGAGAAATCAAATTCCTCCAACAAAGGGAAACTGTCCACGATGCTTGCGATGACTTTTGGTGAGAAATAAGGTTCCATGTGCCTCCTATATTCAGAGTCTTGGGACTGCACAGTCAGTCTGGTTAAATTTTTATGCTCCGAGATCGCTTGTTGCACTGGTTCGGGCAGAAGGCCTTTATCGCGCTGCGATGTAGGAAAATACTGGTCGTACCCAAGTACGCGAAGGCTGGTGAGTGTATCAAAGGAGCCAAGAAACCTGCATATCGTTTCCATGTCATCTCAATGCTCGTTGAGGCCTGCATAGGATCGATGATCCGTCTCGAAGTTTCGTAATTTGATGTCTTCTTTCGGGGTTCTGGTGGCTAGGTCCGCCAGATGGCGGTAGAAGGCACTTCTACCATCATAAACCTCGCCTAGGCATAGTGATCGCAAATTCATGAAATCAAAGGCGTTCTCAAAAACTTGCTTCAGGCCCTCGTCTTCACTCGACATGCCATTCAGCTTCAGAGACTGCAGAGCGGGGAAATATGGTGACTGGTTGTCAGAACCAAGTTCTCTCTCCCAATCATCGAGGAACGTAGAAATGTAACCCCCGTCATCGTCGAGCTCATCACTGTCAATTCCGTCCCGATCATCGGGGTCCAGGATGACCAAGCTTCGCAAAGTCAATCTACAGTTGGGAAGAATTGGCCCCAATTTGGGATTCCATTACTGTATTTTTAAGTGTTGAAGGTTCTTCACCGTTGTCAAGGCCATGATATCATGTTCGGTCGATGCTATTTCGGGACTCAGTGAAAGGGCTTTGAGGTTCGTGAGTCGTGCAAGGGTTTTTGCCATGGAGCTTGGGATACGGCAGAACCAGTCAACTTTTGCCCTGGACTAAATCGGGCCCGATAGCATCACTTACGTTGTTATTTCCCATATCTCCACGATTTCTAACCCGCGCATATTCTTAAGCGCCTCTCCAGGTACCGACGGGCCACATAATCGTGCTTCCTCCATGAAGAAAAACCACCAATGATCATCTCACGCACATAGGTCGCGCACGGCGGGGTGGCTCCTAAGTGAGACCCGTAGGGAATCCCTTCCCGCTGGCCATCACAAGGACACTCTGATATCAGTTTCCTATTCTGTTTTACGCTGAGGTAAGGCTGCATTGCTAAGATAAGTCTGGGTAGCACGATATCACCATTTTTGGCGTGGTAAGCAACACGTTTGTGAAGACAGGGCGTTATAAGCGAGTGAAAATTCTTGCAAGTTCGGGCGACCTTGCACATGGTAGACGCATCCTGGACCTATTTCAAATCAGCATGGGCATGGCTAATCATGAATCATCTGCGGTGGTGGAGTGTCCTGTACGTTGTCAAGAATTAATGCCAACACCTCCGGAGGCAGTGCTGGGTCGTTTGGCTGTCCGAACTAGGCCTCGTCGTTGATCTTCGCCTCGTCGTTCTTCTTCGCCCGCTTGTTGCGCTTCCTTCTCTTGCGCTTCCTTGTGTTGTCCTCCTTTGGTGGAGCGGGAGTTGTTGCTTGAGCCATTGTGGCCTCACCATCCGATCGGTGAGCACTTCTTTTCGCCATCGTGCTGAGTTCCACAAATATAGAATTGGATTAGCAGTGAATTTAAGGGTGAGGGTCCATATCAATAAAATCAGTTACCAGGGAGATATTCACGTGTTAACGCGAGGGACGCGCATCACTTTGTCAAAGCGCGTCTTCGGTATGCGAAGAGCTTAGTAAGACACCGCCCTCAAGGTACTGTACAGTAAAATAGATATTCAACACGCCGTATAGCACTGTCCACCTATGTCTCATGACTATCTCGACAGGGTTCCGGGCTGGGGTCGTTGTGGATGCTCACTTAAGTCTCAAGCCGCCAGGGGCTTCCGCGTAGGTAGTTTCGTGTTGGCCAATGCTTATTTCCATACGCACTCGGGTACGTAAGATAAATGGGTTGGCCTAAGTCATTACATACTGAATAACCTGACGGGCAGGGGACTGGATCCACGGCTTACATATACCTAACCTCCTTCAACCAGCGACAAGATAACTAGGATCTACGGTGCTTTCAGAGTCCGAGAACCGCAAAAGTAGTCTTCTTTACCTCATACACTGCTTGAACATCCGCCAATCATGTCCGCAAAAAAACCAACCATTATCGTCGTTCCCGGTGCCTGGTCAACGCCCGCCCATTATCGTAAGCTGGTCGAAGCCCTGCAGGCCCGATCATTCGAGGTCAAGGTGCCTTCTCTAGCCACCAATAACGGTGCTCGCCCTCCGAACTCGAGCTTTCAGGACGATGTCGCCGCTGTCCGGGCTCTCGTCGAGCCAATTGTCGAACAAGGCAACGAAGTTGTCATGGTGATGCATTCCTACGGCGGTGCTGTCGGCACCGATGCAACCGAAGGCCTGTCCCGAAAGGAAAGAGAAGCTAACAACCTCCCGGGCGGCGTGGTGCACCTCGTCTACCTCTGCGCTTACCTCCTCGCCAAGGGCCAGAGCCTTTGGAACGTTATCGAGAAGTCCGGAATGGCGCAGGACGTGGCGCCTCACTTGGCCATCCACGAAGACGGGGCCTGGACGCTCAATGATCCCGTCTGGGCCATGTACCACGACTTGAGCCCCGAGGACCAGGAGGAGCAGAAGGCTCTCGTAGTGCCGCACAATTCCAAGTCTATCTACGACGGCCCGTCCTACGAGTGCTGGAGGAACAGCCCGCTCACCTACGTTCGCACAACTGAGGACCGTTGCGTGCCTCCCCCGTATCAGGATATTTGCGTCGCCAACGCCAAGGACGCGGATGTTCCCATCGACATCAAGGTCATGGACTGTGGCCACTCGCCTTATGTCAAGTACCCCGAAGAAATTGTGGACATTGTCGTTGGCATCACCGGCTAGGTAGCAGTCGAAGTGAATAGTCTATGTTGCGTTATTTCCATCATCAAAATTGGAGATATCGTACTTGTCGAGCGTTTTGCTTTGCAACCTCCCTTCTCATAGACGTTGGGTGTTGGATTTCTAGATCTCTTGCAAACGCTTAGTTACAAGACGCAAAGAGACACTCTCCCTAAACATGAATTATTATCATAAATTCGTCGTACCAGCTACATAAGTCGTTGTTTTCTATGCATATAAGTGTCCGCCACATCATGGAGTATATCGCTATGTAGTGAAAGATAACACTACTTGAAATATGAGTATTCATTCCACCGCCGCCCACTCCTTGTCGAGTATGCCAGCACGAACAAACAGTGACGAATTGTTCACACCAGCCGCTATCTCTCCAGACTGCTGTGACAAAACCGCCCCTTCCATCTCCATCGAATTCGCATATCCATATCCGACCTGGGAGTTTCCCACCGTGTGCGTGTGCCCCTGGGCGACGTCCGTCAGTGCTCCGGCCGCATGGAACATGGTCCCCGCCATGGCGAGTGTCATGGCCCGCTCAGCCGCCATCTTGTGCTGCTGCAAGATCTGTTTACAGACAGGGACGGTCCTGGCCCAAACTTCCTGCCGATGCTTGCCCACAGCGAGCAGGCCGTTGAGATCATTCTTCTCGCACGCCTCCGCGTATATCCCGCGCATCCTGGTTGAATAAAGACTGCAGACACGTTCCTTGGAACCAGTCTCGCCTTTGAGGGTGAACCGAGGCTCCAAAACTGTTCCCTTAGCGCACGTCAAGTAGCACTCCTGACATATGGGCAGTTCATCCCACCCGTAAAACTTCTGGTCCGCGGTGAGTTCCTTCCCACTACACAGCGGCACATCGCCATAAGTGCCGACAAACTCGGCCAGGGGCCGGGCATGTCCCTTGGCCAGGCACTCAGAGTACTTGACGAGGTACGCGGGCCCGCGGATGTGGTTCACGCTGAAGCAGCAGATCCAGCTATCCTGTTTTGTCAGGGTGCGGTGCGGTTTGAAAAATCTCCTGCCGCCCGAGCTGCCGACGATTCCTCCGTAGCAGCCCCCGCAGATGGCGAATTCCTGGGGCTCGTCAATCAGCGTGTACCACAGTGTGTCCGTTGTTCCCTCTGGATTGCAGAAGGGTTGCTCGTCCACGGCTTGCAGGGCTTTCCAGAAGACCTCGCGGTCCTTCTTGACCAGGGCTTGCTTCGTCGGTATCAACAAGTTGAGGTACGCCATGATGCACCTCACATTTGTTTGGCTGGGTGGAATTGTTTGGAAATACTGCTCGTCTCCAGTATCATGGAAGTAATCGTAGTAACAGGCCACGCAGAGGGTGAGATTTTGAGGTCCCCGGGTAGAAGTATACCAAGCTCGATCGTTGGCTTGGACAATAGTCTGCTTAGGACACAAGGGGAGTGTCTCTCTGATATTCATCTGTTCAATGACTGCTTCCCAATTCTCAGTCTCAGTGTGCTTTTCAAGCAGCCGATTGAAGTACCAGACACTGGAATCACAGAAACACTGTCCTTCTTTCCGCTCTAACTTGAAGTACGGGGCAAACGACGTGCAATCGATGTTGTCCTCGTAGCAAGCTTTGCAGATAGTCATTCCGGGAATCTTGTCATTTGTGTACCAGCTCTCACCCTCCTTGATGGTTTCCTTGGGGCATTCCGGTATCGCTACGCGCCTAATCATATATGCTGTAAGCGACTCTAGGTTGTTCGAGGATAAGGCTTCGGGCCACAATTTCTCCTTGACGCGATCGGTCCCGAAGAGACACCTCCGCGGCTTCTTATCCTTGAAAGAGACCTTGGTGAAACTCCCCCTGAACTGGGTGTCGCAAATGTGATCAACATAACAACGGCCACAGATCAGGAAATTTGGTGCAGCTGAATTATACAGCCAATCCATCTCATATGTGACGGGGTCTGAAGCACACTCCCAGAGAGGAGTTACGCCCGACTCATCCATCATCGCTGGTTCTGGTGTCTCCGAACGCTTTACCTGGGGCTTCCTGCTCTTTGTAGACCTAGAGCCGTCCGCTGATGACTCTGTGCCCTTGTCCGGCTGAAGCTGCAAATCACCCAGGGGAGCGGCGAGTTCGCAGGGTCCATCTTGTTCCAATCGGCTGGCCGTCGGCAATTCCACAGGGAGTGGAGGTTCAGCCATTGGCTGCCCCGAGACTTGGTAGGGGTTCCCCGTGGAAGCCGAAGTAATTGGAGACGCATATGCAGCGGCCGGCTGTGAAGGGTCCCCGTACACAGGAAAGCCTTGCGGATAGCCTGGGGCGGCATTTGACGCAGGGGTGTGTGGCTGAGCATAACTTTGGGGCCGAGGTGTCTGTGAGGGGCTGACGAAAGCAGGGTGAGCTAGCGAGGGCTGAACAGGCGTTCCACTTGAAGGGAGCACTGGTGGGGGGAAGCCTTGGACTTGGGGGAATGGAGTTGGCGCAGCGCCTACATGGATTCCATACATAGGCTGCTGGGCGACAACTGGCGATTGACTCTGAGCGGCTGGCGGTGCGCCTGGTGGTGGTCCCTCTGGAGCTTGGTTCATGCCCGGTGGAGGCCCGGGAGGCGGTCCAGGAGGAGGTTCGAAGCTATCATCACGGGCTTCCTGGGTATTCGTGCTGTACGTGTCTGGAGGAGGGGCTGGTGTTGGTCCTGACGGTGATGGGCCGGGGAAGCTCTGCTGCTGCGGGACCGCTGCTTGTGAAAGACTCTGTGCTATCTGCTCCTGGAAAGCTTGCTGTCCTTGCTGCAGCTGTGATGTTGCCTGCTGGACGGCGTGTTCCTGCTCCAGCCGGATGTTGCCCAGCTGCTGCTCGGCCTGCTTGAGCTGGAGTTCGTAGTTGGTCTGGGCCGCCTGCAGTTGAGTCTGGTGCTGGGCGAGGTGCTGCTGGGCCAGTTGTTGAACCTGCTGCTGGGCCTGTTGGATCTGATTCTGCACGGCAAGCATCTGCTGGTTGGCGTCGCCATATTGCAGTACACTTGCTGCTGCTGTCGGCTGCCCTGGCGAGGCATATGCAGTCTGATATTGTGCCGGGGTTGCCGGAACGTCTGTACTGGAGAATCCTGGTACCGGAGTAGCGGTTGCCGTAGAATCAAACGTAGATGCCGGCGCCGGCCAGGCCGTTGAACCGGCGGGAGTAGGAGTTGGCTGGTAGGCGCCTGGATGCTGGTATTGCTGAGTCTGCTGCTGTGGTTGCTGGCCTGGATAATAACCCTGCTGCTGCTGGGTGGTCTGTCCATACTGCTGAGCCTGGTATTGGGCCTGGTACGTCTGCACGTCCTGCTGCTGCTGCTTGTATTGCTGTTTCGCCTCCTGCCTCAGCCGCTGATACTCTTGGTTGGCCTGCTGGACGGCATCACCAGCCTTGGACACGAGCGAGCCGAAGCGCTTCATGATGCTTCAGCTGAGGGGGTGGGCGCTTGGGTCTGGTGGTTTGAATCGCCGGCGGCCTCTCGCGTCAGAACTAAGACATGGATGAGCGCGCAGCGAGCGACGAGTTTGATAGGATGATGAAGCAGGAAAAAGTTCACCCGCAGACAATCAGCAGGTAGTAATAGCCAGAATATCGCCTCGTGTTCAAAGAGTCAGTCGTGTGCACACATAATAGGCCCGAGAGGCATCCGGAACACCGCAGCACTGTTGACCGTAATCTTGGGCTGATAGTGGCTGGGTCTCATTTTATTAATAGCGCAAACCTCAGCCGCAATTCTCATCTTGTTTGTTTTGCTCTTCGTGTATCGGCGCTTCTTTGTGCCCTACCCTATACCCCGACGTCGATGTCTACATTTCAAGGCAGCAACCAAATAGCAAAGCTCTCAATTACTCTTTAAAGTTAGTTTCTAAATCTCTGGAGCAATTTTTACGCGTTCAAATTTCTTCTGGGAAAGGCTAGCTAGTAAAACCTCACGCGTTTTGGGAGGGTTATAATTGTAAAGGACAACCTAAAACAGACCTCCTCACTTATCTATCCAGAGCAAGGTTCTCAGTGATAAAGTTAAGTCCTGATCCCCAAAGGCAAATCTATTTTTAGAAAACACTTATTTTTTCACTTGCTTATTCATACAAACCGGCATTATTCTAGCCTGAGTTTAACACTACTATTGACGCAAGTTCTCGGTTGCATTCCTATGTCTCATATACAGCTTCAATTATATGCCTCGTTTTAAGTAGAGGGCCTATAGGATTCATCTGGATATCGGTAGGAACTAATAAATGCTCTAAACAAGTAATAGCTTCTCATCTTAAAAAAAAAAAAGAAAAAGAAAAAAGAAGGTGGTTAGACCCCAAATTGCAGTTCGATGAAGAGTGGTTGATGGCTGAACATGATTCCTACACTCACCATAAGAATTACTTCTACCGAAATATCTACAATCTTCCACAGTTCAATCCCAAGCGTCCGGCCTAGATACGTGCTTCAAGCAGGCTCAACCTTGGATTCAGTACCTGGAAAGCACAACAATCAAGACATAACACTCGACACGCAATGAATAAGATCTACAAGTATCTTGGTCTCCCAAGATGTGAGAAGATAAAATAATAAATGTTTATAAAATTTACCTAATCTAGGAAACCTTTCCACTGGGACAGGAGAAAAACCTAGACTAGCTAAAATACCATTATTTCAGACAACACTATACTCCCCTCACCCATCCGCCATCGGACATTGGGATCTATAAATCATAGAACCTGCGAACGACTGATTTATTTTCTCCCACTGACCTTTCGGTTGGCGGGCTGCCTGCCGCCCGCCCTGCCATAGCCACTGCCGGGGGCGCCGTGCTCATCTCTCATGCTGTGTATATGTCAGTGATCCTCAGCTCAAATTTGTAGAGGTATAGGTAGGCTAAATATCAACTTACTGGTTGGCCAGATCTCCATTACTAGCACTGAGCTGCTTATGGCATATAGGGCACTGGGGGTTGCGCGTCATAAGGTTGGAAACCAGGTCGTCTCCGAAATCACGCTCAGCGAGACCAGCCTCCTCGTAGTATCGTGCAACGATGGCATCAGCCTCGTCATTGTTGATACTTCGAAGAGCCATGTGAAGGATTTGCTTTGAAGAGCGGGCTCCGAGGCGAGCAACGCCGTCACCATGGCCGTGAGCTGAGACACCAGACAAGGCGCTCATGAGGCCAGTAGCAATGATAAGAGCAGAGAAATGCATATTGACAGGAAGTAATAGAGTTAACTTATAATTGGAGAAAGTTAAGAAAAAGAGACGAAGGAAGGAACTGTAATAGAAAACAGATAGAAATTGACTTATGAGATAATGAGAATATTGGATAGAAACTGGGAGCAGTATCAGTATTTATAAATATTCTCTGAGCTGAATTGCCACTGTTCATTTTACTATAATAGATTATCAACAGCTCATCTATTCGCTGACTTACATAATGAGATTGTATTGATTGGTAGAGATTTCAATGCGTGTGGGAACGGGATACGGTCAGACGTTAGAAGGCCAGCAACTACCGAACGCGGCATCGAACTACCGAACGCGGTATCAAACTACCGAACACGGTACTACAAGTGAAGCGAGAAGGCCTGGCCAGCTGCAAGCTGCAAGGGGCCTGGAAGGGTCGCTGGAGCCTTGACCTCGCTGGTCATGTCATATAATCAAATCCCCAGTATAAGCAACTACGGGCTACAGGTAAAAAGACCCGGCTTTCGCCAATATTCTCGCAGGGGAATTTTATTCCAGGGCATCCTCCCAGGTACTGGAGGAGTAAGAAACTGTCTCCAGTCTTCCCCTTTTAGCAACTTCTCACGTGCGCAGAAAGATATCTTAACCTTATCTTCTCTTGTAGGTCGGCTCGGAAGTTGGACTAAGAACAATTGAATATATATACATTTTAAGCTAGCAAAGTCTAGAACATATACGGAGATGCTACCACTCGAGGCTGGGAATATGATTCTTTGGCGATCCATTCAGCACGAATACGTAATCGAGAACAGGCCATCTATCACTTTCGATTTCGAAAACTGGATTATTCAGTGGCCAATGCTTCGTCTATCCTTCAACCCCATATTATTTTCCTGGGATAGTCGAACAAGCCCAGGGTCAAATTTGTGCTAACTGCTAAGTGAGAGTTTTCTCTGCGAAGACCGTCACCGCAAAGTTGAAATTTGAGTAAGACGATCGCCACTATGGGCCAGATCCCTGTTAGTAAGAAAAGGGATAGAGCGCACAATGTTTCCCAAAAGAGATCCTAGTATTCCGCCCTTCGAACAGCCTATTAATTTCATGGTAACAAAGGAGCTCAAGCCCAAGTCCGCGAATTTGCTTTCTATTTGCCTTCCGACTTTTGACATGCGTGCAACCAACCCCTTTTCTCGTCTCTATCTACTATGCTCTAGCATCGGTTTCGTATTAGGGGTTTTGATAATGCCCATTTCTTCATTAATGAACATATTTTGGAGACTAGGTTGCGAAAGTCTCAAAGTGTAGTAAAGAAAGTTGCGGGCTCTCCGTCAACCAATGAAACAAAGAAAGCCACCTCGCGTGGATGTAAAATAATCATTGCTGCCATAGCCCTGCTGTTGCTGGGTGGTCTGTCCGTACTGCTGTGCTATCGTCTGGATGGACGGCGCGTTCATCCGGATGGGCATGACCCGCGCCAAACCGTATGCCAACCACGAAGGGAAGAGTTTCTGAAAGAACAAAAAGAGTGGCAGACATCGGTAGGGAAACAAACGTGAGAAATTATATCTCTGTATTCAGTTTCTCTTGTTGTTTGTTTTGCTCTTCGTGCATCGGCGCTTTACTACAAGCCACCCTGTATCGCGTCACGAATTGTCTTCATGTAAGTAGCAATTATATAAAACAATCTAGCCTTCACTACAAAGTTGTTTCCGATCTAGAGCGATATTCTTACCTCCTAGAATTCTTCTGAGAAGAGGCTTATAAGCGAACAATTACGCGTTTGGGAAAAGCATATACCGTCAAAGGACAACGCAGAACCGGTCCAGAACAAGCCTTGTTCGTGTTCGATTTAGGCCCTGATCTTGAAAGTTTGAATAACTTCTCTAAGACACTCTCGTTTTTTCCCGCTAGGTTCTTTATATACCTAATTTATTTTTCCTTAACATTATTAGTTTGACACTATTATCGACGCGAGTCCGAGAGCTCATCTCACTTGCAGCCCTATGTCTCACATCAAATTCTCACTGCACAACTTGCTTCAGGCAGAGGATGGGCTATAACTCACATGGAGATCGACGGAGACCAATGACTGCATTTAAAAGGTGATAACTTTTCACGTAGATAAAAATAGAGTAAGTGGTTGGACCCTAGATCTACTATGCCGTTAGAGTCCAAAGTCAATGACATCATTCACCAGATGATATAACCACAGATTCCTCTCGCCTTTGAACTTATTTCTTACATCGTCTCATAGAGAAGACCTTCGAACAGCATGTCAGCAACCGCCGTCCCGTTGATACAATCAACCCCCCACGCCACACGAATGGCATACCGCATCGGCCGCGGCGAGCAAGGCGTCCTGACCTACGAACCCTATAAGTCTGCCCTCCTCCCCCTCTGGCGCTTCAAAACGGCACCGATTGCCGAGAAAAGCGCACAGCAACTCTGGCATCGGTTTGAGCAGTTCGACAACGATGGGGATTTTGTCGGGATGGACATGGCGCGCAAGTTCATCCAGATGGGCATGACCCGCGCCAAGCGGTATGCCAACCACGAAGCGGGGCGTAAATACAAGAGAGGCACCAGAGAAGAGCTCCCGAAGAGTAGAGATCACGCGGGCAGACAAGAGAAGGAAGAGGCGAGTCGGATTTTCAAGGGCTACTGGGAGAAGTGTAAACAGCACGAAGGGTATAAACGAAGGAAGGAAGAGTTTCTCAAAGAACAAAAAGAGTGGCAGAGAACGGTAGGGAAACAAACATGAGAAACTATGTCTCTGCATTCAGTTTCGGTTTAAAACAACTTGACTAGCTAATTACTGTACATCCATCTATCCACCTTATTTGCATGATGGACATGGCTGGTGCTCGTACATTGGCCCCCAACCACTGTAAATAGTACAATCTGAGCACATTGAGCCGCAAACGTGCCCACACTCCAGTTTCTGACCACAACGAGAGACACAATTGATCCTCTCATCATCAAACTTGATCTCATGGGGATGTCCAAGGCATTCTGTGTGGACAAGATGGTTGCAGAGCTCAAGCCGCTTCTGAACTTTGGTCTGGCAGATGATATTGCCAGGCGACTGTCGCTCTTTGCACGAGGCGTTCTCCAAGACATGGCCGCATGACAGCTTCAGATCGCCCGTGTTGGCTTCACAGGAGCCACACGCATCCTTGCAGAGCTTTCGGCATTTGTGGCCGCAGTCATGTCTGGGGCGATCGCATGGCTCGCTGCAAGGGGTATTTTGATGCATCATGTCGGAATGACACTTGGACTTGCACTTGTGCCCACACTCCAATGGCTTTCCGCAGAGTTCGGCGCAACCACCATCGGGGCTCTTATCCTTGAAGTCCCGGGGCTCGAAGCATACAATGGATGTCTCAGGGTGCCGCGGGCAGCAAATTTCCAGCTCGGTACCGACGTTCCCAGCCTCGGCGATTTGCTGATGAACATCAGCCCACATCGGCACGTTCTGGTAGGTGTTGGCATTTCCGATAAGGTACATGCCATGCTGGGCTCGGCTCAGAAGAACGTTGATTCGATTCTCTGTAGCCAAGAATCCAACCTGGCGAGAATTGTTGCTCCTCACAAGCGAGACCACAATCACCTTGGCCTCCTCTCCTTGGAAATTGTCGACGGTTGCAACACGGAGAGTCTGAAGGAGTGGCTTCTTGACAAACTTCTCAGGTACTTCCACAGATCGCCCGTTCAGGCTGGCCAACCATGCCTCTTCTTCAGTCATCTTCTTTTGGTCAGCCTCATTGAGGCGAATCTCAAACTCGTTGCTCAAGGCAGCCTTCAGTTGCTTGAGCTGGCCGGCGTAAGGAGTGAGAAGGGCGATGTCAGAGCTGTCGTAGGCTCCTTGCCGAACCAAGTGGCGAACCAAGGCCGTGGCCATTGACACTTCCCACCTGTTGCTGTGCGATCTGATCGAGCCATTGCCATATTGACTGTCTTCCAAATGCCGATGATCAAGCCAGAGAAGATCCTGGCGCATCCCAACCACATTTGGGAAACCTCCAACCGACTTGTGATCTTCCAACGAAGGGTATACTCGTCGAATCAATCTTGAGATTCCGGGCCTCATCCGTCGCTGAACACTGAGCTGTGCCACTGGCACTGGTTCAAGGCCAGGCTCACCCATGGCTCGCCTCTCAAACTGGCTACGATCAAGCTGCCATTTCGTCTTGGACGAAGACTCAAGACTGAGGTTGTAATCGTTGATTTGAGGCCTCAGCTGCTTGTGGTCGCCAATCTGGATGAAGTGCTCGACACCTGGCATCAGGGCAGACAACATGTGGGCTTCGGTTACCTCTGCAGCCTCTTCGCAGATAACGACTCGAATCCCAACTCTGCGAAGGGTGTCAATGTTCTTCGCAAGCGAGGTCGTAGTCATGCCAATGATCTTCGAGTTCAGAAGAGTGCGTCGGCGCACTTCCTCCCGAATGCTATTCATCGTCGCTCGGTGATCTTCGGCTGCTTTGAGTGCATCATGGAGTGCAGAGTTGTCTGAGACGCTTGCTCTACTAAGCCAGCTGTCCACCAACTCCCAGCGTTCCTGATTCGAAAGAGCTCTGACATCCCATTCCGCTTTCTTGATGAGCTTGGCCACGTTGTCTTGGCTTCCATTTCGGGAGCTACTGGTCGCGGGCCTGCGTCCCAGCCAACTCACAAGCGGATCCTTTGTCTTAGCGTTGTCATATTGACGTGGGCTGCCGGACTTCAGCTGGCTATGGATCAACTCATGGTTCTTCAGCAGGAACTCGTCCAATTCGGCCCAAGTAGGTTGTGTGCTGCGGTTGTCGAGGGTAGACAGAATGGATGAGACTTTCTCCATGGCCTCATCCAAGGCCTTTCCAGTATAGGAGAGCGTGTTGGTCTCAGAGCCGGTTTTCTTGGTGGCTTTGCTGGCCACCAGAATATTCTTGTCTTCAAGCTCTGGTGCTTCGCTGCGACTTCCAATACGAACTAGTTTGGTGATTCCACTGTCAAGAATGTGCTTCAGGAACTGATCGAGC